GAGGCTGCAGACAAACACACCATCATCAGGAACTAATAACCCTTACTGTAAAAACACTCAGGGGTCACTTCCCTTCCCTAAAACTCCTCTCTAAACTGGTTCTATGACAACGGTAGTCATGTGATCAACGTCTAAGATCATTCTCTCATGAGTTTCTTGAAAAGCGGTGGCGTCCGCCAGGCCCGGTGGTTTCTGGGTTGGTGTCGGTGGTTGGCGGCGGTCGGCTGGTCCTCTCCCGACGTCCTGCACGTCCGAGGTACGGCTCTTGGAGAGGAGTCGATCGGCGGAATTTACAAGAAGTGATTTACGAGCCATCAGGGTCTTCATTATGGGATGGGAAGGATCAGGACGTCTCGGCGCCGGACACCATCAGGTTTGCCCTGGTGAATGCCAGGTCTATTATGAACAAAACTTTTATTCTGAAGGAGTTCTTTGAGACTCATGGCCTGGATTACCTATGCATTAAGGAATCTTGGGTTCCCAAAGGTGAATCTGCTGCTTTTGTGGAGCTACTACAGGATGACTGTGCCTATGTTAGTGTTGCGAGACTATCAGGACGTGGAGGAGGACTGGCGGTGATTTTCAAGTCAAAGTTCACTTGTAAACAAGTGGATTCGCCAGTTGTGCCTACTAGTTTTGAGCTTTGCCTGTTCGAGCTTGGTCATGTGCCCCGACTCTTGGTCGCACTCCTGTACCGTCCACCAAGATTTAATGCAAACCTTTTGGAGGAGTTCACAGAATTCCTCGGTGAAACTATTCCCAAATATGATCAGGTTTTAATTCTTGGGGATTTTAACATCCATGTTTGCTGTCATGATGAGCCTATGGTGAAGGATTTTTTAAATCTTGTTGACTCTTTTAATCTGTCTCAGTTAGTTGACCAACCTACACAGGTATGTGGGCATGTCCTGGACCTTGTGTTGTCGTTTGGGGTATCTGCTTCCAATCTGCAGGTTGGGGAGGCCTTTTTCTCAGACCATAGGTCTGTTTTATTTAATGTGCCTTTCCCCTGTCAGCCTGTGATGCTGTGTCCTCCTGTGAAACTCTGCCGGGTGTTAAGGTTGGTTTATGCTTGACGCGTCCGCGAGGTCCGCACGGCTCCGCGCGGAAAAGTAGCGTCATTTTGCATCATTTTAACAACCACGCCCCTCCACCGCGTCTCCGCACGGCCCAAGATTTCCGCAACGCGCACCTCGGAAAATTTCTAACCACGCGGACGGTCGGACGCGGAAAAACATGGCGGACCGGCACGGCAGAGGTTCGTAAATACAGACATTTGTATGATTCAGCTCTCAGAGATCACCGTGATCAACATGTTGTTAATAATTCTTGGAGAGAAATAGCTCGCACTGTCGGAAAAGACGAGGACGCTGTTAAAAATGCTGAAATACCATGTTGTAAACAGTGATTTCTACTTCTACTGTGGTGTAGTGTTGGATGCATGCTGTAGAGCTCCATGCTGCCCCCTACAGTTTGGGAGAATATTGGCTCACCGCAGAGACGAGCCGCACAAACCATAAACGCTGCGAGTTGTGAAGCGTGTTCCAGCCGCGAGCCGCATCACCGCGCGGAAAGTGAATGCGTCAAGCATAAACCAAGCTTTAAAGTCCTCAACGGCCACTGAGTTTTGTTCAGTGTTTGGGGTTGGTGGGGCAGGGGCAAACTGCTGGGCCTAGTAGCACTGAGGAGCTTACTTTGCATTTTAACACAACATGCTTGAAGGTCTTAGATATTGTAGCACATGTGAAGGCTAAGAAACATAAATGTAAAAAGGAGCCATGCCTAAATATGACCACACAGGACTTAAAAAGGAAATGTAGGAAGGCAGAGCGTAGGTGGAAGCGGGATGGCCTTCAGATCTCCCTGGACCTACTGAGAGATAGCTGGGTAGCTACCAGAAAGCTGTGAAAGAGGCGAGAATTAAGTTCTTTGCTGACATTTTGTCCTCCAACTCACAGAATCCTCGGGTTCTTTTTAGCACATTAGATTCTATTTTAAATGCAAATGAACCGCTGGTTATTGAGTACACTACAGAATCCTGCAATCATTTCCTCAACTTCTTTGTGGACAAAGTGGGGAGGACGAAGACTTCTGTCACACCCTCCAATTACACCCTCCTCTGCGGGGTCCTGCCCCAGGGCTCTTGGAGAGCTTTTATCCAACATCGCCAATAGCGTTGGAGAAGGTGGTCAATAGTCTGAAACCATCTGGTTCTGTATTGGACGCAATCCCTGCTAAACTTCTAAAAGAAGTTTTTCCAGTTTTGTCTCCTTGTGTTCTAGAAATTATAAACAGCAGTCTATTATCGGGTGAAGTTCCCAGCTCTTTTAAACATGCAGTAGTGCGCCCTCTGCTGAAGAAAGCTGGCCTAGATTTGTCGAATATATCTAACTATAGGCCTGTTTCCACACTGCCTTTTTAGCTAAGGTCTAGGAAAACTTGTGAATGCCCAAATGATATCCTTTCTACATGAAAATGAGATGCTAGAGATGTTTCAGTCTGGGTTTAAGTCTCTCCATAGTACAGAATCAGCCCTGTTGATGGTTTTGAATGATACCCTGATGGCAAACGATTCTGGGGGGGCTGTGGTTTTGGTGCTCTTGGACTTGACTGCGGCATTTGACACCATAGACCACAATATCCTGATTGGTCGACTGGAGCACTGGGTGGGAATATCAGGCTTAGCACTCCAGTGGATAAAATCTTTCCTGTCAGGGAGGAATTTTTGTGTAAAA